ACAACTGTAGTGAATCAGAGGAGTTTCGTTTAGCTGTTAAGAGAACACGACCAAAGACTATTGATGAAGCGGTTACAGCAGCAATGCAGGAAGAGTGCATTAGACTTACAGAGAACCGGAAACCTAGAGATCAAAGGATCATGAAACCCCCAATTTACCAGGTATGGTCAAATTCTACTAAACCGGAAGTTAAGACGGATATGCCAAAGCCACAGGATACAGTCCAAAGACGGTACTATAACAACAATAATAATGGGACGACAGGGATGAATTATCAAGCGAGGGACAAGAAATTGTGCTATCATTGTAACTCAAGTCAACACTTAATCCGAGATTGTCCAAAGAAAGCAACTTCAAAGAAAATGCAAAACACAGGTGCGACTTTCCAAAACAGGAAGAATCAGGAAACACCCGAGCAGCAGTTAAACGACATTCGACCGAGGCAGTAGGCCGTGTGTCGGTCACAATGCACCACAGGCCTAATACATTGGATTTGCAACATTCCGTTTCAGAGAACAGAGAGACTAGAAATGAAGCTAAATTGCTTGAGAAGCTTTCTGTAGTAAACTCCGAGGAAGGAGAATCTCCAGTTTCTAACAAGGAAGCGGATGTAAATGATGCAACGCACATCGGTGTGAACTCCAAGCAGGGCGAGGACCGGAAATTTAAGGTTAAAGGATCCTGTGACATGAGGATCAATGGATGGGTAGAAGGGACTCCCCTTGAATGGAAAATCGATACAGGTGCGGTTAATACCTTTATTACGGAAGATACATTTTACAATATCTTACCGGAAGTTAGACCTGTGCTGGAACGCGTGCATAAGAAATTTCACATAGCTGATGGAAATGAATTACAGATTCTAGGGACTGCAAAGATGATTTTAAGTTTTGGAGAAAAAGACATTTTATTTCGTGTTTTTGTCGGAGGAGTTAAGTGCAATCTCCTGGGACAGGATTTCATGAGACAATTTAAGTGCAACTGTGATTACAGTGAAAATTCATTGATGTTAAATCTTGATTCGTACAATCAAGGAGGAGAATTTAGTCATAGAACTTTGCGGGTTTTGTCCATAGAGGATTGTGTTATACCCGGGCGACATGAAGCTTTAATTAAAACTAGGATACGATGCACGGAAAATTTTGGTGATGGAATCTTATTGCCGATTAAACAGTTCATGCATGTTTATGGATTAATGATTGCGCATGCTCTTGTAAACGCTGACCAAAAGGAAGTGTTTGTGCGTGTATTTAATCCGTGTGATAGCGATGTTTTGGTGAAAAAGGACACAGATGTAGCACTGTTTTCACCTGTGAATTATATTAGTGAACATATTCATGAACAGGGAGTATTTGATGTAGATTTTAAAAGGAAATCTGAGGATTTGCCTGAACATCTAAAGAAGTTGTATTCAGACGGATGTGAACATTTAACAGAGGAAGAAAGTATTACTTTCAAGAAATTTTTAATGGAATTCAAAGGAGCATTTGCTGACCCGAACCAACCAATGGAGCGTGCTAATTTTGGAGAGCATTGCATTAAATTGAAAAATGAATCGCCATTTAAGGAACCACCCAGGCGAGTCCCTATATTTAAAAGGGAAATATTGGACACGGAGGTTCGGAATTTAGAGAAGCATGGACTTATAGAGGAGTCTATTAGCCCTTGGTCATCACCCCTTGTACTGGTGCAGAAAAAGGACAAAAGCTGGAGAGTGTGCGTAGACTATAGGAAACTCAATGCTCAAACAATTAAGGATGCTTATCCCACTCCAAGGATTGTCGATAATTTAGATTCATTGGCGGGATCTAAATGGTTTACTTCATTGGATTTAAACATGACATATCATCAGATTCCAATGTCGGAGAGTGACAAGGAAAAGGCTGCTTTTGCAACACCACGTGGAGGATTGTACCAGTACCGAGTTATGCCTTTTAGACTATGTAACGCGCCTGCAACTTTTCAGCGTGTTATTGAGAGAGCATTACAAGGACTACAGTGGCATATAACAGTACTTTACTTGGACGATATAATTGTGACTGGTCGAGATTTCTCAGATATCTGAAAAACTTACGACAAGTGCTCGATCGACTACGACAAGCAAACTTGAAGCTTAAAGCGAAAAAGTGCAAATTCTTTCAAAAGGAAGTGATATTCCTCGGACATATTGTGTCAGAAAACGATGCTAAAACTGACCCGGCGAAAACTAGAGCTGTCGAGGAATGGAAATCACCAGAGAATATATCTGAATTAAGGAGTTTCTTAGGACTTGTGTCTTATTACAGGAAATTCATCAAAAACTTTGCCGAAATAGCAAAATGTTTACATGCACTCACAAGTAAAAATTCTAAATGGGAATGGACGAATGAATGTGAAAATGCATTTCAAATGCTGAAATCAAAACTAGTGACTGCTCCCATACTAGGATATCCAGATACGGATGGAGGTGTATTTATCCTAGACACTGATGCTAGCAACAACGCAATTGGAGCTGTTCTGTCACAAATTCAAGATGACAAGGAGATAGTTATTGAATATGCTAGCCGAACTTTGAATAGTGCAGAGAGAAATTACTGCGTTACTAGGAAAGAAATGCTAGCGCTTGTGTATTTTATAAAGCATTTCAAACATTATTTGCTCGGGCGGGAGTTCATTCTTAGAACTGACCACGGATCATTAGTTTGGCTGCACAAATTTCTGGAGCCAGATGGACAAGTAGCGAGATGGCTTCAACAACTGGGACCATACGTATTTCGCATTGTGCACAGACCAGGCAAACGACATGGGTATGCTGACGCACTATCCAGAATCAGTGACAGTTTAATCTGTAAACAATGCAAGCGCGACGTTCACGAAGAATCGACAGAGGAAACTTTCACTCATGTAGACGAATTAAGAAAACTATGTGAATCCCCGGATTGCTACAAACGGAACGCAGAAGTTTTAGATATCGGATGTTTGTTATATCCCGGAAGTTATCCGAATCCGGATGCGTGTCAAGTAGAATCAACAAATGAAAACAGTAAAACGGCTAGGCGTAAGAAAGTCAAAAACAGACCCCCTCCAGCGAGGCAACGGAAACAACCAACAGAGTCTCTTACAGTTGAAAATATACGTAAGCACCAACACGAAGATCATGAGATGTCTGAATTACTGCGTTTAAAGGAAAAATTGGATTCTGTGAAACCTGCGATAAGTTCTATTTCTCATACCAGTTTTGAGTTCAAATTCTGGTATTCTAGATGGGAAATGTTAACAGTTGATCGTGGTTTGTTATGTTACCGGTGGATAGAAAAAGACAGTGAAACACTTAAAATATGTATTCCCAGGACTTTACGTGACAGTGTAATGTGGTATTTACATGATTCTAAAACTGCCGGACATATGGGAATTAAGAGGACTGTTTCAAAGTTAATGAATAGTCAGTACTACTGGCCGCAGCTGAAGCGATATGCTCAAGATTATGTATCGTCATGCGATATTTGCGAGGAGAGGAAAAATCCAACAAGGAAGAAGCGATCTTACATGAAGACGTATTTAAGTGGTGACAGGTTTCAGAGAATAGCCGCGGATATTGCAGGACCATTTCCGAAGTCAGAAAATGGATACTTGTACACATGAAGACGTATTTAAGTGGTGACAGGTTTCAGAGAATAGCCGCGGATATTGCAGGACCATTTCCGAAGTCAGAAAATGGATACTTGTACATATTAGTCGTCGCTGATTATTTTACTAAATTTTGTGAAATATATCCCTTACGTGATATGGAAGCTGAAACTGTGGCAGAAACATTATTCAAAGGTTGGATTAAACGATACGGATGTCCGTTAGAAATACATTCCGATCAAGGTAGACAGTTTGAAAGTCACTATTTCAAGAAATGTGCAGATTACTTCAGATCAACAAAACAAGGACAACTGCTTACCATCCGCAATCCGACGGAATGGTGGAAAGACTAAACCGAACTATAAAGGAAATGTTATCGAAATACATTTCAGTTCATCAGACAGACTGGGACAAGTACATAGACGGGATCGTTCTGGCCTATAACAGTACACCCCATGAAACAACGACTATATCTCCGTATAGAATGATGTTCGGTACAGAGCCCTCACTACCCTTAGATGTTATGACTACGGAATTAACCGAAGAAGAACCAGTTCGGAAAAATGATTCGGAATATGTGAGAAACTTGGAAAGTGAACTATATTTTGTGCACAATCTTGCGAGAGAAGTTACAGGAAAATTATCGCAAAGACAAAAACATTATTATGACAGAAATGTTCGTAATGTGAATTATGACATTGGAGATAAAGTGAGGCGAAATCAACGCCAAATTATTACAGGGACGAAAGCAAAACTAGCAAGGAACTGGACAGGGCCATTGTTTATTGTGAAAAAACTGAGCGATACGCTTTATCAAATTCAACATTCCAAAAACTCAAAGCCCGTGATAGTGCACGCCGACAATATCAAACCATACAGGGGGAATAAACAATCGCGCCCGGTTCCTGAATCCGAATATACAACTGGCGAGACAGCATGTGCCCCGCGACGTTGCGTGCCAGCTGCGAGAGAGAGACCAATGACCAAACGATTGAAGTTACCGCCAGAGCCGCGACCCGAGACTGTCACAGCGGAACAGTCACATGCCGACAGCCAATCAGAAGCCGTCATTAGAACAACACGATTTGGGAGAGTTATAAAAAGACCACTTCGGTACCAGACTGACCATTCTCCAGATGATTTGTGAATATTGTGGGTGTGTGTTTTCGACAAATAGTAACCTGTACCAGCATCAACGCAAACAACATAGAAGTGATTTGAATGTTATTAAATGTGAATATTGCCAGAAACTCTTTACTAGAAAATCAAATCTTAAAAGACATCTTAAAAACGTCCATAAGTTAGACCAGGACTTCGTCAATGAGGCCTTAAATACCCCGCGGAAGAAGATTCAACGACACAGTTTCATGGAGACCCGAAAACCGGTGTACGTTATGAGTGACTTTTATGAGGACATTTCCTCCGACGAGGAAGAGATGCATTACCATGAGACGGCGCAGCCACTCGTTACGGACTCTTCTCAGGACTTGGACATAATCTCAGTGAATTCGGAAGACTTGCCGGAAATAAATGACACTTTTGTTAGTGAAATTCTGGGCGACATAGAAGAGGAAGAAACGTGTGCGCGACCAACAGAAGAATCTCTCGAGTCACCAGACGTGAGCGAAGCCGCGAACTCGTCATCAGAGGACAGTGATATGTATGACATGGACGATAACAACAATCGCGTAAGTGTCGAGACGTCAACCATATGCCTGGTGATGAAGAAGACGATTCGGACTAATCCTGACGGTTCCGAGGAGATTAATCGCGAATCTCAAATTATCTACTCAGAGAACGTGAATCCAGAGGAAGTAGACTTTCGTGATCTTGCCGAGGAGATTCTGAATGAGGTTCCGCGACACCTAGCGCCGAGTGCGAGTAGTAATGGGAGATTTGTCCTTGTGATACATGTAACAAACTGGAGGCCATACTGAAAAAGTTGTGAACTCTAACAAAAGACTTGTAAACTATTAACAAGCTTTTATGTATATAATTTTAAATTATTTATATCTTTGATTTTTATTATGTTTTAATGTCATGTTTGTAAATATTTTTTTGTGCTTTGTTTGTCCGAAGGTGATTTATTGTTTACGTAGACTAAGTTTGCTAGGTGTAAGTCAGTATGTTTACTGTTTCAACAAAATGATTTTATTATGGATTGTGTAGTAAAAATTTACTGATTTGGAGAAAATAATTGTTTATATAGCTAACGTTTAATTATTTATATAATTTCCTTTCATATTACCATCATGTTTAACTTCAAGAAATTATCTTAGTTGTCTATTGTTTAATCATTTTGAATGGAGTCAAAAACTTAAGTGGGGGGGGGGGGGGGGGAGTTGTAGCGAATTATTATGTAACGATGATTTGTTTATATAACATTGCTCCTCGCGAGCAATGGGTTTTTGTTTACATTGCATTGCTCCTCGCGAGCAATGGGTTTTATGTATAAATATAGGAGGGATTTTAGACAGTGAGTCAGTCAGTTTTTTGATATTCATTACGATCACTTCGGACAATTTTTAGTTGGATTTTTATACTTACTGTTTTTATGCTATTGTGGATTTTAAAATGTGAATAAACCGTAAACTTGATTACTTGCGTATCATTTCAAGAATATTCATTGGAAGAAATGGAAAACACTGAGAGTTATTCCCCTTAGACCGTATCGGAAAAACGTTACATAACGTATATGTTTTTTGAGTTTTGAATTCAGATAACAGAAATCCAAGATCATGCCTCTCCACAAATATCGTTTGGAATGAACTACTGACTATTTTTTTGATACATTGTGTGTAATTTTTTTACAACTATTATTATATAAGCCAAATATTACTGAAGGTTTAACAAAACTGTTGAATCTTTGAGACATAAAAATTAAAATATAAAGTAATTTTTCATATTGGCCACACGTACGAACAACGATTTTATTAAGCGTGCAGATTTGTATCAGCAATATCTACATATATGGTAAGTATGAAAGTTGTTCTCGACTGTGGCCACACTTAATTTTGGGAAATTCTGTCAAAAAATCGGCATTTTTGAACGTTTTTATGAAACCGTCGCATCTTCAAACCATCGCACGTGCCTTACATCGCATTATTTTACAAAATGAGTTACAGAAGGAAAAGAAGTGTGTTGTCCTCTAATAATTAACGTATAATACCGGCCATGAATAGAAACTCGATTTTACAGGGCCAAATATGATGATTCGTGGCTCTACCTCTTTGTATTCCCATTGTTGGGATACAAGACACAGTGGTTAGAGCGTCTGCTCTAGAATTGTGAAGTAAGGAGTTAATCCTTATATCGCGGGTTCGAATCCCACTGTGGGACGTGTAGACCGGTCCATTGGATGAGACAGTATAAACCGAGGTCCCGTGTCGCAGAAGGTGCTGGCACGAAAAAGATCCCTTCCTGCTCAATGGCCCTGAGTGCCGAGTATAGGACAAAATTTGCAGTTCTCCACCGCCAAGTGGTGGCGTCACCATATGAGTGAAAAAATTTCGAGAGGGGCGTTAAACAATATACAATCAATCGAGATACAAGAGAGGTTTAGACCTCCAAATCTTTGTTATGCAAAGTGGATCTGTGTCTTAACCACTTTCTGTTCGTTTAAAGCAGATTTTTCATATAAATAGTTACTTCTAAAATCGATTTGACAATGTATAGTGCTGAGCTGTGTCTCGTTTTGTTATATATATATGATATTTTCTATATGTAAACAAAACAAGGCATGAGTTTTGTCATCTTCGCAAGCCAAGGGTTTCCAGTTTCAACCCTTTAGAAAATAAGTCCCAGTTTATTAATCGACGATTTTCGGCTGAATAAAAGTCTGTTTGTGTTTTATGCAAAGAAGAGTATTATTTACCAGGGATAAAAGTTAGGACGTGATATAATCATGCTAAAAAACAAGGGAGTAATTACTTGATTTGAATTTTTTTTCTTTTAATTATATATGTTTTCAAAAATTATTGAAAGGACCACACAAGTCCGGGCGACTTCGATTCATACCCGAGTATTAACTCTTGGTTGACGTCACATGCCCGGATGTTTACACAAACATGTGGTTTTCAAGCGAACTCATATGAGTTTGAAGGGTAGCGAATATAAAATAAATTTCCTCTATGAGTTTTAAAAGGCGGTCCAATAGGTCCATTTTGACATCATCTGTTGAGTTAATTTTTTCTATAGCTTTTGCTGCAGTTGAAATGTATTTCTTTTTCAGCTCTGAATATTTTTGGTTTCGAATTTGAAGTTATGTCTCTGCTGTTATCGGGCAGTAAGCCTGAAAAATCTAATCAAATAAAAATATATTCATATAAATTATAAAGCGTTCATGTAGAAAGTGCGTTTCGAAGTTTGCTTTTAAGGATAAGCGATGCTAAACATAATATTTAGTAAAAAATAATTCCTACGTTCGGGTTTTTCGTTCGACGCCGCCATATCGAAACCCTAGTAATCCTACTGTATGGCTGGGTTAGCTTGGGTAGAGTTCAGGGGCGGATCCAGCAATTGTTGAAAGGGGGGGTTCCAGGGTTGTGTCTCTACCCACCCCACCCCCCATACACCCTATACATCCTTTTTTTTTCTTTGAAATGGCTAGGTACCCCAAATCAGAAAAAAACAAACTCATTACAAAAACTAATGAAGCCCGATAAAATTGAATGGATCTGCAGCATTTCCGAGTTAGAGTAAAAAGAAATTTCTTTAAGAATTTGAAAAAAAAAACTTTTTAGGGATAAGATGCGGATGGGGTTTAACACAAAGAGTTTTATGTAAGTTCCTCCAATAGATATGATTAAAAAGGGTACATATACATGTATATAGCCAACACAGCCAAAGATCGCGGAAATATCATATCAAATTAAACCTCGCATGTTACATATCACATAAGACATATAAAAATAAGTAGAATATTTTCTACCATTCCACACATGCATTCGCTCTTAAAAAGTAATAATGAAGGTGAATGGAGGAAACTAAATGTGTGGAAATTTATCTATTCAATACATAAGTTAGACATACAATTTTTTTTCTCAGATTCCGTTTTATCTCTCTCTCTCTCCATTTGGCAAAAAATAAAGGGGGGGGGGTTTCCAACCCCCGGCCCCCCCCCCCCCCCCTCTGGATCCGCCAATGGAGTTCATAAGGTCATATGACGTATTTTGAGTAGAAACTATGGTCGTTCGATTAAAACTCAAGTAACTCGAGTACGTACTCGGGTACGAATCGAAGTCGCCCTCCGTGTTCCGCAATTTAGGTGAATCAATTAAGGATTTATTCTTATGAATCTTTGCGGTCGTAAAAAAGTATGTGGAAGGGTAACTCTAGAAACTGTAGTAAACTTTAATCATTTCAGTTCTCGTCCTTTTCATTCAACTTTAGAAAAAATCATCATCATCAGAAAAGGTTTACTTTATGCAACACTTAGCACTGTAGATTTTGATAAATAACAACAATTAAAAGAATATTAAAATTTGCGACATAACCGGAAGTTGTATCAAACGTAAACAAAAGCAGCAGACGTCATGCTTACAAATTTGACAGATATGCGAGCTCGATATGCAGATCAATTGGTAAGAAGTTAAATAGAGATTATAAAAGTAAAAAGCCAGAATTATGACTTTTAAATATATCAACAAGTTTAGCAGCGCGGCGCGATGGTATAAAAGGAAGACAAAGAAAAGGAGTGGGGAGTGCCTTTCGCCATTCGTGTGATAGAGAATGATCACACATACAGCAGAAAAGAGGGAGAAGACACAATTCCTCTTGAAGATGCCACTCAAAGATGTATAGGCAATGACAGCTGGAGAGGCAGACGGAGAATCGTTGAGTTGGGTGTGCTAGCAGAGGGTCTTTCAGGATGGTTGGATTTGTGGCCTTACACTCCAGCTATCGCATGCACTTGACATTACAACATGCGGTTTATCTGCACTCATAAAAGTAAATTAGTCTTTGGGTTGTCAATTGTATAAAGTATCTGGTATTTGTACATAGACACATAGTCTATATAGATGGTAATTTTTAAACATCACAGGTACTTGGGTCTTTGATTATAAATATGTATGTACCTTTTTGATATGTATTGATTTAAAGACTTTGAGATTGAATACTGTTCGTTTTCTCCATATCCTTCATATAAAAAAGTACTTTACATATCAATAAGGTACATACATATTTATAATCCAAGACCCAAGTACCTCTGTTAAACATGCATGTCTTATATGATATCTACAAATTAAAAAAAATGAACAGCAGCGGTGCCTTACATGTCAGACTATAGGCCTATATATATAGCATTGGAATAATGAACATTGGATGCACAATGATATAATGGCAGTGTACTCTGTATCCATGACTATGTGCACTTGTGTTCTCATCAGCTTTTTGCACATCTGTAGTGTACAGTGTTTTCCCTAAGAACTATTGGCCGAATTGTTCTTTGCAAAGCTCCATAAATCACTTCTAATTTCATATCATATTAAGAAACATTGTTATCTTAAAATGCTTTTTCGGGATAAAAAAAATTTCTACTTTTAATTAGAACTTTCTGAGAAGTTCAAAGAACCTTGAAAGCACATTGAGAGGCGTATAATGAAAATTGTTGCATGAAACAGACCTGCCTACCCTTTTCATTTCAAGGGTGTAATTTCAGTAAATTTTTGGTGGAATTTCAGAGGTAAAAGCGTAATTAATCATATTTTCCTTTTTTGGTGTTTTACTATAATACTTAATCAAATTTTCTTTTATAACAACTGAAATTGTACATTACTAAACAAAGGTGGCATGAACGTTTCCTTTTGGAATCATTTATTGGGAAAAAAGTGTTGTAAAATATCAGTATCCTACATCAAACTCAATGCAACCGTAAACCCTTACTGGAACCATTTGGACAATTTGTATCAAATCGCTTAATTGAAGGCTTGTGTTTGCATGTTTACACAAATCGCGTACCTTAATAACATTGTATTTTATCTTTCTAAACACTAAGCGATGTAAAATGAACCAAAATGAGCATAGAAATGACTGTACTTATTCCACATATCATTTAACAGTTAATGTAAGTAGTGCATTCAGTTCTTCGTTCGAATATTTGGTAACCAGTCTATATGTAACTACAAGGTATATTACGTAACATATTGAATCGGTCATCTATTAATTACTTTTATTAGAAGAAATTCTCATTCTCATTTCGTTTCAGCAAGACGTGCTTTAAAGCAATATGAGCTGCATATTTGACATCGGAAAAAAAATATTTCAAATTTTTAATTAACTATTTCAATGACTGGAAATTAGAACATTTAAAAACATCTGTTGTTCATATTGCTTTGGAAGAACTTTTTATAAGCTTTGATTGAAGCTAAATTGAATTATTGTCGTCCTGTACAATAATGATTTCTTATATAATACTCTATATTCGGTTGTACAGAAATATTTCTTCTGAAGCATTTTTAAACTTTATTTTGGTCTTATTGATCATAAGTGTTTTCATTACATACAGATTAATCATAATAACACATTTTACCAGCAAAATAAAATTCTCAAAAATGCAGCTCAAACACAGCTAATTGTGCCACGTACGTGTTACATATGGTTGCATATAACGCATGTATCACGTATGTGAAATGTACGTATCACATACGTGTATTACAAACATACGTTTCACGTATGTGGGACAACGTACGTATAACATATGTGTGACTACAACGTATGTTTGGAATACATGTATGTGTTACGTACGTGAAACGTACGTGTAACATATGTTATGTGCAACCATACGTTACACGTACGTTAATAAACGTACGGTTTACATGTATATTGTCAACCACATGTTACACGTACGTTAATTAACATATGGTTTACATGTGTATAGTCAACCACATGTTACACGTACGTTAATGAACACATGGTTTACATGTGTATAGTCAACCACATGTTACACGTACGTTAATGAACTCATGGTTTACATGTGTTTTATAAAGCACAAATGTCATGTATATATATAGTTTATGTGCATTATAAACCACACATTAAATATACTAATGTACATAAACAAATTATGGTTTACTTGTATTCTAAAGCTCTCATTACATATGTTGATGAATATAGTATGTGTATTATCAGGCACATGTTACATATACATTTAAAAAGGTGTTTTACATGTGTGTGAAAACCTATGTTTGAGAATGAGAAGGCTGTATATTTTGTAAATTCATATTATTACATACATGTATGTTAAATGTAGGTTGACTGTAAATCTAATCCTTTTTATTTTATTTCAAATTTAATTTTTTAATCAAATTATCATTTAGTTTTTGCTATAAAGAGAAAAAAAACCAATGCGTTAAACATTTATTGTTGCTAGGGACTACATAATTTCACTTAAAATAAGGAACTTTTTGTATAAAAGTATGGCTGACTTCCACAACTAACTATTTTTCCTTAATAGTTTAAGTTTTGGAGAACTAATCAAGATATTATTTAACATAACAATCAATAGGCACTTAGGGCTTAACCTGTTATTCAGGAAGAAGAGCAATCATAGTGATATGACCATCTATAAAATCCTTCTTATAACATGTATAACGGGTCCTTATATCAGAAGTTGCATGTATTTTAATAATTATAATATTTTAAAATCTAAAATATCTTTTTTTGACATAAACATTATTATGATATTTGGTTAAACCCAATCACAACTGAAGCATACATGTGTGTGCGTTGTTGACTTGTCGTGTGCGTATTTAATGTTTCAATTTATTTCACATTGTTCACCTTACGTCCACTTTCATGTCTGGCATAATGTTATCAGTTCGCATTGGTTTAAAATTTACTCTAAAAACAGTTAACAAAGTTTACATAAAAATTTCTCCAATCTCGTCATATGTATCGGATATCGGTAGAGGCACATAAAATTGAACTCGGTCATCGGTAGATATAATCAATCCGAATTCAAGAGCAAAAATATATTTTAAAAAAAGAAAGAAATTCACGATAATTTCACAACAAATCTCAAAAGGGAGTAAATGATTCATCTAGATAATTATCAAATATACAGTGGGTACCGTCCGTATAAAACTTATAAAATATACCTTCCGGAATTTTCCAGCCTCCATTTATGTATTACATGTACGTTACCAGTGACGTCACTGGAAAGAGAAGTCTGACGTCTGCAAGTTCTAGGGCCTAGCTAAAGGTGAGGAATGCATAAAATCAACAATTATTTAATTACTTTATGACTGTGTGTTGCATGTAAACTAAGGGGGGGGGGGGTGTTTTTTTTTCAGTGTATTACATAATGGAGGCGTGGGTTACCAAAAACAGAAAATATTGACCATGTTGAGCCAGTGAGCTGTCTTGGTCAGCACCCAAGTGTATCCATCAACACGGGCACGTTATATCAAAATGCAGGTGAAGTTTAAAAATACTGTTATAACAATTAAGTATTTATTTAAAATGTTTTTAACCTAACAAATAAGATGCAAAAAAAAAAAAAAAGAGAAACAACAACAATTTGATGTAAAGTTCCACTCACTGAATTTATTTCTTTTTACAGTATTTAAAACATCACATTAGATGGTAAAGGAAATTATTATCTTTGAGGGCAATAATGGTGTAACAGTTTTGTTTTTACATATCTGCCCTTTTAATCCTTATGAATATAAATTGTGTTTGAGATTGAGAATTTTTATGTGATTTTAGATATGCATTCCAGGATGGTGACTGAAGCTCATCTTTGTAAACACCTATATGCCTAGAATGGACTCCAAAACAGATTGTTAAAGTTTAACCAGTATAATCTTGAATATGGTAATACTTTTAAAAAGGAATAAGATTTTCTTATCATATTGCTTTTAGACTTGCAAATACTACATGTAACTTGAAGCTTTTCATGTAAAATTTGAAATGCAATCGAGTTTGACGAATTTCACACTACTAAGAGTTATCTCCCTTGTCGGCATAACTCTCATTTTTCCCACTTTGTCCTTTGTAAGTTACCTGTTATTATTTTCAATCTTCAAACGTTATTGGACAATTTAGATCTGTACCTGTATTGCCGAAGTTTGGGGCAACATGAAAATCTTAATGAACGATATTCATTACAGATTTTATTTTTAAGATACTGACCAATAAATTTGGTAAGGTTACAGAGGGAAAACAGGGCCTTACGCTGGATTGACCCTGCAAAGGGGAATAACTTTTGAAAAATTTAATGTGAAAGTCATCTATTTTTTTTACATATGTTTTTTTTTAACCTCAAGGACAAAAAGTATACACTTGGAACACAAACAAAAACAGATGAGTCCATGCCAAGCTAAAGATTAATGCAGAAGGTAAGTTCAATTTTTCATTTCGTAACTCTTCTGGTTTTATCCAGATCGGACCTTACATATAATTAAGTCAGCTTCAGTATATAATAGAAGGATATGGAGATAACGAACAGTATTCAATCTCAAAGTCCATAAAACTATACAAAATAAGAGCAGAGCAAACACGGACCCCCGAAACATCAGAGGTGGGATCAGGTGCCATAATAAAACACCTATTTACTTACTATTCGGAAAATAGCTTGTTTATCATCTCCCTCAACAGCAAACTATTTCCCTCGTCTGCATCTTGGGGAATAGTTGTTGTCTTGGGGGATGATAAACTAGCTATTGTCCTCATAGCCAGTATACAGGTGTACATGTATACTGTTTTTAGCTTTTCTGTGCCAAAGGCTCAAAGAGCTAATGCTACGGCTATTTGTGCGGTGTGCATAAACTTTTTACCTCACCTAAGCCAAAGGCTCAAGTGAGCTTTTCTGATCAAAATTTGTCCGTTGTTGTCGTTGGCGTCGTTGTTGTCGTTGGCGTTGTCGTTGTTGTAAACTTTTCACATTTTCATCTTCTTCTCAAGAACCACTGGGCCAATTTCAACCAAACTTGCTACAAAGTATCCTTGGGTAAAGGGGATTCAAGTTTGTTCAAATGAAGGGCTGCACCCTTTTCCAAGGGGAGATAATTATGAATTAGAAAAAAATTAATGGCATTTTTAAAAAATCTTCTCAAGAACCACTAGGCCAGGAAAGATGAAACTCATGTGGAATCATCCTCAGGTAGTGTAGATTCAAGTTTGTTCAAATCATGACCCCCCAGGGGTAGGATGGGGCCAAAATGGCCGAATAAAGTTTTACGTATGAATATACAGGAAAAATCTTTAAATATTTTCTTCTCAAGAACCACTGGACCAGAAAAGATGAAACTCATGTGGAATCATCCTCAGGTAGTGTAGATTCAAGTTTGTTCAAATCATGACCCCTGGGGGTAGGGTGGGGCTAAAATGGCCAATCAAAGTTTTACATAGGAATATATTGGAAAAATCTTCTTCTCAAGAACCATTGAGACAGGAAAATGAAACTTATATGGAATCATCCTCAGATAGTGTAGATTCAAGCTTGTTCAAATCATGACCTCCGGGGGTAGGGTGGGACCAAAATGGCCAATAAAAGTTTTACATAGGAATATCTAGGGAAACCTTTTAAAATCTTGTTTTCAAGTACGTTAAAGCCATGCTTAGTGATATTTATAGGGAATCATCCTCAGGTAGTGTAGATTCAAGTTTGTTCAAATCATGACCCCCTGGGGGGGGTTTAATTCAAGCCCCCCCCCCCCCCAGCAAACTTTCAGTTCTGATCTGATGTGTGATTTTTCCTAGCAAATTGCTCAGGTAAGCGATGTGGCCCCTGGGCCTCTTGTTAGAATGTGGGTCATAACTCAAGATCCCCTTGGACAATCATTGTCAAATTTTCACAGGGCATCCTTGGCCCAAGGGCTACCATTTATACTAAAATTAGGTTTTGGACCTTATACAAGGGGAGATAATCAGGAAGATAAAACCAAAAGAAGTCTATATTGGCCTAGACTTGTTAAACTTTGTCAGTTGAGGCATCTTTGGAGAATGTCGACCAAAAAGTAGGTCACCATGATCTACTTATGGTATTTTATAGCTCTATTGAAATATCTTCAGTCCTAACTGGCTAAGAATCACCGAACTTTCTTGATTGATGTATTTTGGGTCTTATAAACATAGAGGCTTCAAATACTAGTGATAGATTGTACAATTTATTAGAAGAGCGATTCAAGGCCCTTGGGTTTCTTGTTGTCCATCGCCATACACTGTGCTCTGTCTGGTAAAATTTTAGCATTTACTGCCTCCTCCCTCCACCACCACCCAAACTAAAGGGGGGGGGGGTAACCCATCAAAATTATTCAAAATTGTATTTTTTTAATTGGACATCAAGCAAACTAATAGCAAGATTTTAATCAGCATTGAGTCCTAATGAAATTATGAAATTCATATAGCCCCATGGTAGGTGGATCAGATGTAAAGGCACAGCTTTATTAATTAATCATAGACTGAAAATGCATTGATTCATTGAAAATCTATATAATGCTCCTAAGTTGAAAGCAAAAAGACTAAGTTCATGACAATGAGGAATAAGTTTTGTACCCCTGTAATCAAAGATTCTTGGGTACATCTATATAGCTTTTACCCTGTCTGTCTGTCTGCAAAATCTTTTCACATTGGCCATATTATTTTAGTGGGTGAAAGTATGGCTTTCATATTTCATAGACCTGGGTATTCATAGTGACAATACTTCTGTATTGGTACACCAAATTAACCTTTTGAATTGAACTTGGAGTATGATTCACTTTTAAGAAAGTTTCATAATTTGAATCTTGGCCTTAACTTTTGAACAGTTGGTGCAAGGGCTTTCATACTTCACTTGTATATTTATTGTGACAAAACCTTTCAATGGGTATAAATTAAAATATTTGACCTTGTACTTCTAGTTTAACCCGCTGTTAAAAAACTAACTTTGATCATAACTTTTGAGCTGATAATAGTAGGGCTTTCATATTTCACATATTTACTCTTTGTGACAAGTCCGTCCTTGGATGTCAACAATTTTGACCTTTGACCTTAACTTTGGAGTTTGACTTGCACTTGGGAAACTTGAACCATAAGCTGGCATATGGGGTATCAGTATGTACAGTTTTTTCCGAGTTCACCCACAAATCAATGCTATGTAATGAATTTTAGATAAGAAAATTACAAGGTAGATAGTTTAAAAGATCATTGTTATGAATACTAAAAAATTAATTATTTAGTATTTATATTTAAGTTCTACAGAGAATCAACCAAGATTAATATGTGGATAATAATAATGTTCAGGGGAAAAAATGGGTTTTCCCTTATTCCATGCATTTAATATTTTTCTTTTTCTTTACAGATAAAAGAGAACTGGAGAGGAATGAATTGATGTTAACATACTCAACATTAAATTTGGCTTAAATCTAAATATGTCTTTTGTTGTGAAGGATAACCAGAAAGTGGATCATTCAACAGATGAAAAGAAAATAAGCCTTTGAGAGAAATTATGTCAAATGCATGAATTGAATATTTAAATTGCACGTAATTTTTGTTTCACCAACGTTTACAATATGTGAAAAAATGTTCAAAACGTGTTTAACCATGGTTTAATTTGACACATTTTTGTATGGTATTTATACATTTACAATATGAGCAGTGCAAATAATAAATCCATTAAACATGTTATGAGAAACATATGTTACACACACGTTGCACGTACGTTATTCATATGTGAAACGTATGAGTAACGTACGTGTGCAATATACGTGTAACGCATGGTGGGCAATACGTACGTTTAACATGCGTGACACGCATGATATTCACACGTGTGAAAACATACGTATAATGTACGTGGTATTTTTTTTCATGGAAAACGTACGTGAAGTCACGTATGTGTCACATACGTTTAACATACGTGAAACGTACGTGGCACAATTAGCTGTGTATTGCTTTAAATTTAAATTAAGTTCTCCATTAAGGATTTTAAACCAAGATATCAAAAGCGTAATAAGTGGCGTAATAGCATAATTTTGTGGTAAAAAGCGGAAGAATTACGCCAAAAGCGAAAGGGTAGGCAGGTCTGCCTTTTGTAGATTTTTCAAAACTTTGGAATATAACTTTTTAAAAAATAGTTTTTTTTTCTCTTTAAACTGTCGACTAATAATGTAGTACCATTGCATCGGGATCGAAGTCGGTCTTTTCGCCGAAATTCGAAAGAGAGTGTCGCGAAAAGGAGAAGTGTGATTAGCTTTGGATGGAATTTCTGTTTTAACAGAAGATGAAGACATTTTACGACCCTGTGCTGCGGTAGGAACAATGTACAAAATTTTATTATGTGTCCTTGAGTGAATAATTGCTTCTGCTCTTGACAATGTTACTGTTCCTAAGTATGGGCACTACACATAACATGCCTGGCAGTAAATACGTTTTGGCAAGCTCTATTTAAATTTTGTAATAATTATTTAACAATTTCAAACATCTCTAATAAAGATTAATTTTAACCAGAATTTCCTCGTTTGGAATTGGTTCCGGATTTTCAGTGTTCCTCTGTTCAGCATTTACAGAGTATGTTGTACAATGTAAAAAATAAATATATATATTTATTTCTTAATGCATGTTCAAGATCATATTCAGCACTTATTTTGATTATTTAATAGTTGCAGTGGAATGTGCCTGAGACGATTCCCCACAGCGCCTGCATATATAGTCAGCTTGTGTAAATGGTGAGAACCATGCAGTTAATACAAATTACCTAACATTGTTTTTATTAACTTGTATCTTTTAGCATAAGACTATAAAAAATATTGCAACTTGAATTACTATTTACCAAGTAAACAAGACGAGGTTTATATATTCTTAATTTCCTTATAAAAATACAATAGCAATAGATTCTGACAGTTAATCTAAACATACTATAAATTGCACAAAGCTATGCATAATTATTTTACATTAGATACTTAAGCATAAATTATTTAAAATAGCTGTGACCTGTCATATTCTATGATGCACAATTATGCATGCATTATTTACAGGAATCTGAATGCTCACAAGAAATGACAAAAGCAGTATGAAAATTAACACAAAGGTAATATTTCTTAAATTTTCTGATAAGATCAATAAAATCACACGAATTGAATTTTTTTAGCTCACCTGAGCCATTTAAAGACCCAAGCGAGTTTTCTGATTAGTGTTGGTATTCGTCTGTCATCTGTAAACTTTTCAAATTTTTACATTCATCAGAATTAATCCTAATTTGAACTTGAAAAAACTCTGCAAGATACATCTTTTCTCTAGAAATTGTGCCAGAAAGTTTGAAGTATCTTTGGGAATGATCAACATGAACTTGCTGAGTCTTCCTTCTTAAAGTGACTTGACCAGATATATGGCTACCCAGTTTGAGGTACGAACTACTCATTTGTTGTACGACTTATTGTTTATGAGATTGCCACCATTTACTGGAACTTTGAATTTGCTGTCCACTTTAAACCCCTTCTATCTACAGTGTAAGTTGTTAATACATTTTATTTTATGTTAAATCACTTGCCCATTATCCCAATAACTTGCATGTTAAATACTGTAGATGCTAACCTTTGCATTTTTGTAAGCTCTTAAATTCCATGTATTCCCAGTATGGTGCGCCATTATATACATCCATTTCATATCATGTTTTGTTGTCTCTAGATTTGATCTTATACATATTATATGTTTTTGAAATAATTCCCTGAACTAGATCACAAAGTTTAAGAATTTTATTATTGTATGAATGTTATCTACTTGCTCTAATCATAAATACATCTGTTTGTATATTTTTTTCTACGAAATGCCATACCTGTTTACAATTTTTCATATTTTTTTTTATCCATAGTATCTTTCTGCTAAATGAAATAAAATATTGTGGAGGAACATGGAGAAATGGGCAGCTCAACATGTTCAAGGTCAAGCAGGTAAACACAGTGGTAAAATGCTCAAAAAAAGATGACAAAAAAGTCAGTAGTTCCCAATTTACATGTACATCCACACAATCTGTAGCTTGCTTGTCTGAAACTCTAGATACATATGTCTTAATATGTTAAATGCTGAAAATTCTATTCTTTGCATTTTCATAAACTTTGTAAATCTTCAAATTCCATGTGCTTGGAGTATGTACCATTATGTATGTTTCCGAATTCGTATCATATTTTGTTGTCTATAAGTTTGATCTAAACATATAATTATATGTTTTTTTATGTAATTCACTTAACTAGCTAGATGACACAAAGAATTTTATCATTGTGTAATTTGTTATCTACTTGCTTTAGTCATAAGTATACCCTGTTTGTATATTTTTGTCCCCCGCTTGGAAAGTGGGGGATATTAATTTGGGTTTGTCCGTCCGTCCGTCTGTCCGTCCGTCCGTCTGTCTGTAACGCTTTCGTTTACTCACGATATCTCGAGAACCCTTTGAGCTTTTGCAATGAAATTTAGCATAACAACTCTCTGTGGCCTAAGGAAGACACCTATTGATTTTGAGGTCAAAAGGTCAAAGTCATAAATAAGCAAATTCTGTCTGTTATAACACTTTCGTTTCCACACCATATCTCTAGAACCATTTGAGCTATTGCAATGAAATTTAATATTACAACTCCCTGTGGCCTAAGAAAGACCCCTATTGATTTTGAGGTCAAAAGGTCAAAGTTCAAGGTCGTAAATTTATACATTCTGTCTGCGTGTAACACTATCATTTCCGGGCGATATTTCAAGAAGATTTTGAGCTTATGTAATGTAATTTTATACCAAAACTCCCTGGGATCTCTCTCACCCCTCTCAAAGTGCCCCGCTCCGTTTGTTTTACTAGTATTGATCGTATTACCTGTCGCTATTTTTAGCACAGGGGCATGCGGAGAGTTATTGCGTATAAAACAGGTTCTCGGCAGACTTTATATTCTTATTACATCTATTAGAACTGTTTAATAAAGGCTAAATAAATCAAACACCATGGATTGTGTAAAATTTTGATAATACCGAACATGAATATATATACATGTATGTGACTTTACTTCTGCATATACTTCACTTCAGATAAAGCGATTCCGTGGTCTAGTGGTATGTGTCCCGCTTCACGTGTGAGAGGTCCCGGGATCGAATCTCGGACGAACTCTCTCTTTTTTTCCTTTTTTTTTTTTTTTTTTTTTTAAACTTTTCCCTTTTTTTAATGATAGTATTTAGCATGTGAAAAGAATAATTTTTGAGGTTATAAAATCATCATTACAGTGTGATAAATATTCCATATAAAAAGAATCTTCTATACACATAATAAAGAATAGGCAATTAAATCTTTATACGCATATTGACATACATGTATTTTATTTGCTTCAGTATACATGTATACATTTAATAATTCTACAAATTCAGTCAGGGGGATCCGACTTTTTCCCTAAGCGGGGGACACGAATTCTCTGAATTAGCTTGTTTCTCCTGTTTTGTAATATATTCTTTCTACTTAGAGCCATACCTGTTAATAATGTTTCATATTTTGTTTTTTACAGCTTATTACCATATCCATAGTATCTTGCTGCTAAATGAAAAAATTAATGTGGAGGAACAGAGAAAAGGGCACCTGGACATAATCAAGGTCAAGCAGGTAAACATAGTGGTAAAATGCTAAAAAAAAAATGGCGAAAAAGTAATTAGTCCCCAGTTGGCATGTACATCAACACTAGGTTCAAAATCTGTAGCTCGCTGGTCTGAAATTATAATTAAGTATCTGTCTTTATATGTTTTATGGTCTTCTGTAAATGTCAAAGTTCTGATGTTAAGAGAACCACCTGTTTTAACACTAGACTAAAGAAACATTATATGGAACAAAACTCACAAACCCCTTTCTGTGTTCAGATCAACATTGTAATCAATGTAATCGCACACAAATGTAAACACGTCACCCCATACATGTATAAATATTAAATAGACTGCCATATGCACTTTCTTTTAAAATGTAGATTGGTTCAAAAATATTTCAGTTGTCAATAATTAATCAAAATTGAGCTGTGTTTCCTCTAGGTCAATTGATAACTTTACAATCAACTCAGAATTATGTGTACTATTTAATATATGCATAAATCCGGAAGCACACAGATAATATGTATATATAGGCAAATGGGTATTTATTTGTATGTTTGTTGTAGAAAGTAGGAGTTAGATGTGCATCTCCATAGCTGAAAACTTCTTGGGATGAAGAGAAGAAAAAGCAAGAAGAAGCAGTTTTAAATATTGATTACGTCTTCGTAGCACAAAAAATGATTCGAAAGATGATACAATCTATGAAATTAGAAAACTGAAGTGGCATTCTGATGAATGTGAAAAAGTCCCCAAAGAACAGGACACCAAACGTGCCACTCTCACATCAAAGCACTCTAAAAGGCAAAGCATAAGAAGAACTAGGACAAATAAAGAATTGAAAAGAGTCAAACCTATTGATGTAGTTATTGAACAGAGATGGGCTGTTAGAGATAAAATATCTGAGTTGCTATTGTTTTGCACAAATGTGATGCTTTTTTTTTTACTTATCTTTAATTGACACATTCAATGTTAGATAAACAAAATATACCTAGAGTTGTATTTTTGACAGTGAAAGTTTTTCTGATGCTTGATTACAGATCAAAACTGTTATATTTTTTATTGTTTAAACATTTATTGGTTTATTGTGTAGTATGCAATCACATACATTTTAATCTTGATTTATATATTACATATATGTACAAGTTTGACTTAAATAATAAGTGCATGACCATTTATTATGGAAAAAAATATTAAAGACAATCAAGGGTAGTCTGAAAGAGCTTTGCTGGCAGTAAGTTGCAGATCTTAATACCCAAGTAAGAGAAGGGTGGTGTCTCTGACCGATCCTTTTGCTCTTGCTTGTGGGCGAGTGAGGCTTCTCTGTCAGTGGCTTAGTGTGTCACAGATGTAAAAAGTAGACTAAGCAGATGAGGTAGAGACATTTCTGAGTAAAAAAGTGGTGAATTGTGATTTTGATAAATATTACAATGTATATTGCAAGAGTAATGAGAATTGCAAGAGCAAAATATTATTTTGTTTCCTTCCATTTGAATTAAGAGAGTTTATGACGAGAATCTTTTCCATTAAATTGGAATTGTAATTAAGGCTAAGAAAAATTGTTAAATAAACTTGTACATATGTGTAGACAGGACTTTTTATATGTACATGTTTCAGAGCTCATTCTTGAAATCTTAAGACAAAGTCTAGAAGATAAATTACTAAAAAATTATCACTATCTAAATGTCTTGCATTCCAATGTAAAGTTGATTTAATGAGGATATGTTAAGTTACAATCTTCAAGCAATAAACCTAGCAGTTGGAACAGAAATGGGCTACATGTATTAGAGACAAATTTAAGCTGCTTCCATTTTGTGCAATTGTGATACTCTTTCCTTAATTAGTCCCCTACCGGTGAAACCGGGGGGGGGGACTATAGGTTTCCTCGGCGTCTGTCCGTCTGTCTGTCTGTCCCCGTCTGTCTGTCAGTCTGTCCCATTTGGTTTTCCACACTTTTTTCCTTTATACTTTTGAGAATTGATTTGAAACTTCATGTATACCTTTATAGTGATAAACTACAGATCAAGTTTGAATTTTGTTACATTTGACCGAAAGGTACTCAGGTAATTACGTATTAAACATTCCTCTTTTTTTTATTCGGGTTCAAGATCGGGTTCGAACTTTTGAACTGCTATATATATATTAATGTTTAAAAAATGATTGTGACAAAAGTAATTTACTGATACTGTGCATTTTTTCAATAATTTTTACCTGCAATTACTTAATATAAAGTGACCAACAGTTACTACAGTGATTCAGGTAAAAATTAAACATTCCTCTTTTTATAATAGGGTTCAAGATCGGGTTTGAGATGTACTCTTAAAAAAAAAGATTCAGACGTTGAGTAAGAAGAGAGAAGACGGTGTTCACTGAAAAAGACATGTAAGTAATAATTGTGCATTGTTCTTAGCAATTTCTAACCGCGAAAACTTAATATACATTGCGAAATAACACCAAATGCAATAAATAATTTATATTTTTCTCGATTTGAATTGTTTTTGGTGGGGAGATTGCGTTACGACGTTTCCAAAAAATTAAGCAGGTCTGGCGTTACGACGTTTCGAAAAACTTCCATACGTATTTATGCAGGTCTGGTACGATCTAAATCACTAGATTTATGGACCTTTATTCAACAACAAAATCTGATTTATTTCTGCGATTATCATTTCTATGCAGACAATCGCACTTTTATGCAGAAATGCCCTGTTCACACTTTAGAGTTTAATTCCAATTAAACGTAAAATTACTGCGAATTACTTTCGCTTAGCGTTCACACGGAGAATTTAATGCGAATTAGTTTAATTCAAATTAGTTTACAGACCAATCCACACTTTTCAAAAGTTATGTCCCTTGGCCGCCATCTTAGGGGAATCCACACAGTAGCCTTTGTAGTTTTCAGGTTTGTAACTTTGTCATTTGACTTTTAAAAAGCTATGCCTTTTGTGTACTGATTGCCCCAAGATGGGACTACTCACACATTGAAAGAAAAAAAATCAAACACAATGGACTTTTCACAGCACGCCCAAATATATGAGTTTAATTCGAATTAAACGTAAAATTACTGCGAATTACTTTCGCTTAGCGTTCACACGGAGAATTTAATGCGAATTAGTTTAATTCAAATTAGTTTACAGACCAATCCACACTTTTCAAAAGTTATGTCCCTTGGCCGCCATCTTAGGGGAATCCACACAGTAGCCTTTGTAGTTTTCAGGTTTGTAACTTTGTCATTTGACTTTTAAAAAGCTATGCCTTTTGTGTACTAATTGCCCCAAGATGGGACTACTCACACATTGAAAGAAAAAAAATTAAACACAATGGACTTTTCACAGCACGCCCAAATATTTGGTAGCATAAAGAGGAGAAATGATGTTTCTTTTCCTTTTGACTTTTTGGTTCTTCTTCAGACTTGTTGAAATTTTTTAATTGCTGTCAGACATTTGGTCTGACACAGTGGAATGTTTTGTCGGACCAGTCAAACTTTTGTCAGACCAGATACTTGTACGTTATTTTGATGCCGGTAAAATCATATGAATAACAGCACCAAAATGTCCTTTATTATTTTCAATAGCCTTCAATCTAACAAGTTTCCTTTGTTGGGATAGAGAGTCTTTAACATTGACATAAATGACAAGTTTTATGACTTCGCTATAACAAATTTACTTAGCTAGCATCAACATGCTGCGTACGCGGCCATTTTTTTCTGTGTTTGTGACCTTGAACTACGCATCCCGATCCCGACCTTTATTAAATTTGCATTACGCTCATTTTTTTCAAACGGTCATCTGGACCGACGTTTTCTTAAATGTTATCGGTCCAGACAAATTTTTACCGGCCTTGCCGACAGGACCGACAGATTTTGACAAGTCTGCTTCTTCTTCTTTAAGTGCATTCCTCCGGAATCAAGTATACTCGCACTGTGATTGACCCCGCAAAGGGAAACAACTTTTGCAAAGTGTGGATTGGTCTATTAGATTACTTTGCATTAGCTCTGTGTAAACACTAAGTGAAGCTTATTCAAATAAAATTTTTGAGGCATGCGTAATGGCAAAATTAGGTCAAATGCCACATGCCCGTGGTCAAATTTAAGTATTTGTGCTATCTTTGAGTGAAAAACTAAGGAAAATTGTGTTAATTACTAAAATGTGTGTACAGACACAGTAACATTATGTAAAATGCATCTGCTCCTGCATAAGGTGACGTGATTTGCAGCTTTTCTGACACCTGGCTGTAGAAGAAGAATTTTAATTCCCAATAGTTTACTTCGCATTAACTGTCGTGTGAACGCAATTTAATTCGGATTAGTTTTATTCGCATTAGTTTACTTCGCATTAATTTACTGCAAATTAAACTTGTCGTGTGAACAGGGCATTATGTTTTCCAACTTCATTCACAGGGGCTAGCTCCCGGCATGTAAAAAATTTATTTAAAAAAAAAAAACATAAACGATATACTATAAAACTACACAAAAAACTTGTGTAGTTTAATAGTACATATCGTTTATGTTTTTTTAATAAATATTTTTACATGTCGGGAGGAAGCCCCTGTGCTTCATTATTATTTCCTTATACTCACATTACTCATGTGAGTACATACATTTCATGATGTGTTTTTTCTCTGCAATTGCAGTCAAAGTGCTGAAAGTTTTGGGGCTATTTACAACTGATTATTTGTGAAGAGTTACTTCTTACATTCTGTTGAACATGATAATGGATTGATAAGCATATATATATATACTTACACACGTTTAATTTACATTGGACTCGTTAAACTGCATGTACTTGACATTTGGTGTGTCTAGACTATATGACGTCACATGACATCATATTTAAGTTGCAATACCGAACCCTGAACATTGTTGCCTTATATATATGTACAATAAATAGTTCAATACATATATCTTTTTTAGACAAAATGGCCTCCCCTGATGCAAAAAAAATTAAATTTTATGAATCAATAGACACTGAGCTTAAAGCCATAATATTTGACATTCAAAAACATGACGAAAAAAGCGCCCAGGCTGCAGTA